TATGGACTTGATGAACCGGGTATTTCATAAATACTTGGACCGGTTTGGGATTGTGTTCATAGATGATATCTTGATTTACTCGAAGAGTGAAGAAGAGCATGAGGAGCACTTGATACTTGTTCTTGAGACGCTACGGGAGAAGCAACTCTATGCCAAGTTTTCCAAATGTGAATTTTGGCTAAGGGAGATTGGCTTTCTCGGGCATGTGGTTTCGGGATCAGGGATTGCCGTAGATAACAAGAAGATTGAGGCCACTACTGAATGGGAGAGGCCAAAGAACGTCAAGGAAATTCGTAGCTTCCTTGGATTGGCAGGGTACTACCGAAAATTTGTGGAGAAGTTCTCAGTTTTGGCATCGCCATTGACAAAGCTCACTCGAAAAGGGGCCATGTTTGTATGGGATGACCGATGTGAGAAGGGATTCCTTGAACTGAAGAAGAGATTGACCGAGGCACCGGTACTCGCACTACCCAAACAGGGTGTGGGGTACGATGTCTACAGCGACGCAAGCATCCAAGGGCTTGGATGTGTGTTAATGCAGAATGGGAGGGTGATTGCATATGCTTCACGACAGTTGAAGAAGCATGAGGTAAATTATCCCACTCATGACTTAGAGCTGGGGGCGGTGGTGTTCGCATTGAAGATTTGGAGACATTATCTCTACGGGGAAACATGTCATATATACACCGACCACAAAAGCCTGAAGTACGTGTTTACTCAGAAAGAGTTAAACATGAGATAGAGACGGTGGATGGAGTTGATAAAAGACTACCACCTAGTTATCGAATACCACCCCGGTAAAGCCAACGTGGTAGCGGATGCCTTGAGCCGAAAGAACTCATCTGGGGCATTATTGACTAGTTTGAGGGCATTGAGAGCCCAATTGGAGGTATCTAGCGATGGTGCCTTATTAGCTAAATTTGAGGTGAGACCTACATTACTTGATGAAATCAAGAAGGGTCAAGAAACCGATGAGGAACTTATGAAGATCCGTGAACGCATGCTAGCGGGATCGGTTGAGGATTTCAGGGAGAGGGACGATGGTCTCTTATTATTTCGTGATCGAGTATGCGTACCGTTGGATGATGAGCTCCGAAAGTCCATCTTAGAGGAGGCTCATTCATCGGCGTATGCCATGCACCCGGGAGGCACGAAAATGTACCGTGATTTGAAGGAAAGTTACTGGTGGTCTGGTATGAAGAGGGAAATAGCCGAGTACATCAGTAGGTGTCTTACTTGTCAGCAAGTCAAGGCAGAACATCAGCATCCAGCTGGGTTACTACAGCCACTTTCCATTCCTGAATGGAAGTGGGAACACGTGACTATGGATTTCGTGGTGGGGCTGCCACGGACGATTAAGAACAATGATGTCGTATGGGTTGTGGTCGATAGGCTCACAAAGAGTGCACACTTTCTACCTATCAATACTACCTATGCACTGAAGACGTTAGCCAAGTTGTATGTGGACGAGATCGTGAGGCTACATGGGGTTCCTATAACCATTGTATCTGATAGAGATCCGCGATTCACATCACGATTTTGGCCGAAGTTCCAAGAATCTATGGGGACAAAGTTGAAATTCAGTACAGCTTTCCATCCACAAACGGATGGGCAATCTGAGCGGGTTATACAGATATTAGAGGATATGTTGAGAGCCTGTGCATTGGAGTTCTAAGGGAGTTGGGACAACCATTTGTCACTTGTGGAGTTTGCCTATAACAACAGTTATCAGGCGAGTATAGGCATGCCTCCATACGAGGCATTGTATGGGAGGAGATGTCGTACACCGTTGTGTTGGGATGAGGTTGGCATGGCCAAACTCGAGAGCACGGAACTGGTGGAGATCACCAAGTTAAAGGTGAAGATGATTCGTGAGAGACTTAAGGCGGCACAGGATAGACAGAAGAGCTATGCCGATAAGCGCCGAAGAGCCTTAGAGTTTAAGGTTGGAGATGAAGTATTTTTAAAGGTTTCACCTTGGAAAGGAATCATCTGATTTCAGAGCCGCGGGAAACTTAACCCACGCTACATAGGGCCATTTGTGATTCTTGAAAGAATTGGGGCTGTAGCATACCGATTACAGTTGACTCCAGAATTGGAGAAGATACACAACGTATTCCACGTGTCTATGCTTAAGAAGTATATACCGGATCCGTCTCATGTATTGGAGAAACCACCCGTGGAAATACGGGAAGGCTTGAATTATGCCGTGCAACCGGTGAAAATACTTGATAGACAGGTCAAGAAGTTGAGAAGCAAGAAGGTTCCAATGGTTAAAATCCTTTGGAAAAGTGACCGAGTTGAGGAGGAAACTTGGGAAACGGAAGCTTTGATGAAAGAGCAATATGCGTCTTTGTTTGAATAAGCATTGTGAACTTCGGGGACGAAATTCCCGTTAAGGGGGGTGAACTTGTAGCACCTTCCCCAAGCATATTTACTTTTAGTAAATTATGTAATAGACCTTGAAAGATGATTTATGAATTTGCGTAATTGTAACTTTTTATTATTTCTTTTACGTGAATAGTAAATTGCATGTGGGGCCCACGCCGGGACCGGGGGCTGCCCGATAATTCTTGAACCACATATCATATTCATCTTGGTCTAGATAATATGTATATGGTGGTGGATATTTTATTTGGACCATAAGGAGGCATGGAGTTGACCGGTTGGTCAAATGGGCCCCAATTACCGGTATTGGTAATTTAGCGGATAACAGCCCGAAATGAGTTTCGGAGACTCCTAAATTAATGTTGGGGAATGTACATCTATTCTAAAGGCCCATAATTATTAGGAACGCGTAATATATTTTATTTGGTCCGATAAAATAAAATATGATTAAAACGGGCCGAAAAATGCAACTTTCGGGACCGATTGTGCACTTCTGGACAAAAAGGGGTGACCTCCCACACAAGTGGGGACCAACCCACGAAATTTCCAGATCTTGGAGGCTGGCTTGAGTTAATTTGTGGCTGAAATCCATTGAAGGGATGGGGGAGACCATTTTGACACCTAAGGGACCCCTAACCTCACCCATTTGTCAACCAAAGACAAAAGTACCATCCTCCCTCCTCTCCCACTCATTGTACTCGTCCAGCACGAAGAAAGGAAGGCTAAGGAGCTCTGAAACCTCACCTTCCATAGCCAACTCGAGCTCAAGCTCAAACAAGAAAAAGAAAGAGGTTTGGAGAAGAAAAAAGACAGGAAAAGTGTAAAGAATCAAGGTAATGACCTTATACTAACTTTTTCTCTACTTCTTAGCTACCCTAAGACTTATATATCATATTGAGGACCCCTAGGATTGTTCATCATGTTTCAAAGTGTAGAACAAGGGGTTGGAAGGTAGTTCTAAGTCCAAGAACGGACTTAGAAGCCAAATGACCGGTTCGCCGGAAAATAACCTTTTAGGGGTTATTTGTGTTGATATGAGTTTTGTGATGATAAAACCTTGTTAGGAGCTTGACTAAAGTGTTCCTAACTTTCGCCGGAGTTTCTCCGGAGTCTCGTCGGAGTTTCGCCGGAGTTCACCGGAGTATTGCCGGAGTTCAACCTAGAAGGGTAGAGCTTCTTCAAGCTAATTCGAGGTGAGGATGGCTAACTATATTGCTTATAATTAGTGAGTTAATTTCATGAGATTACCAAAGGTAATTAAACGTGTTTTTTATGGATTATTAATGCTTAATAATGCCTAAGAATGAAAAGACTAATGTCTAAAGAAAAAGGAGCATGATATACAAATTTAAGAGTAAATTGTGTATGATCATGTGTTATTAGAATATATCAGTGATTACAAGTGATATTTTGAATATTGAGATAAATGATATTTTCAAAGGAAAATCAGTTGGAATTGTCTATATGACTATGAGTTGAGAACTTGGTTTGTTGGTATTAATTTGACTAGTATTAAGATACTAGTTGGACATTAAAATGAAATGTTGTTAAGATTGATCCTAAGGTTGGATTGTGAAATGTTATGCCTTAAGTAGTCTTAAGAGATGCTTTAAGGTAGGAGAGTATGAACTCTAAGTTATACTAGGGGTAGGCCTTAAGGGATACCCAAGATAAAGTAAGTACTAAATTGATCCTAGGTATAGGATTGGCCTACGGGTGTGTTCGGTAGTCCTTGTGGATAGCCGGTTGAATTATGGAAATAAGTAAGGACCATGGCCCTTCCCGACTCTAGAGAGCGGGGTTGGATAGCATGGACTTACATCGTGATCACGGGTTAGGGTGGAATCCGAATCGGAGACCTAACTAGGTTCCGGTAGCGGTAACACATAAGATAGGACCCCGAAGGGCCTTACCTTCCTACGGGATGATGGGTATGAGTCCAGGGGCGGGATGTTGGAGTCCGAATCGGGAGCCTCATGAGGTCTCGGACAGCGGTAGCAAGTCCCGTAGAAATAATAAGACCCAAGGGTTGGATTGTGCAAATGATAAATGAAAAGGAATAAATAAGAAGGGCCGTGTGCCGACAAATAAATGAATTTACTTATTATAAAGATAATAAGTGGGAAATATAATTTATTATTTATATTATGATATCACCCTATTTTGAGTGTCTTGGAAATTAAAACGTTGATTATACTTAGTATAGTTGCTATTGTACTTGTCAAATACTTCCAAGTACTGACCTCCCCTTCACGGGGGAGGCCACCTCACAGTTTTAGGTAGAACTTGAAGGTTGGTACCATTGCCCGTTGCTTCGGGAGGCTCAAGGGAAGAAGACGTGGTTCGTGCTTCTTCCGTTCTGTTTTAAAAACAATTTCGTTAATGCTCATGGATACTATTTTCTGAAAAATTACTTGGGGGCTTGTATGCCTAGTGATGCCAAGTGTGGCTTGAACAATTGTATTAATGCTTCCGCTGTTTTAATTGCACATTTTACATTATGGTTGTTTATGATTGTACTATGTGTGAATGTTATTGAAGACGTCTTGTATGGTATGGATGAGTCGGACTGCGGTTGACTATCATCCGCAAGCCCATAATGACGTCTTGTGGGAGTTGAACGTTACGACACGTCAGCGCAACTTTCTGGTGCATTGGGAAGCATCTCTGGAAGATTTCTGCTAATCTTCGCTCGCTGGCATTCCTTGAGTTCGCTTCTCTCCGCAAGACCGCAAGCAAGGTAATAGGGAGGGAATTTCTATGGCATGGTCTCTCTAGTACCTCTTCTTCATTATCTAATGATCACACCTTAATCGTCACGACTCAAGCGCTGAGCTGCTGATTCAAATAATTGATTTCTCGCAAATCAGATCTCTTTCTCGTCTTGGCCGGGGAGCTGAACGATGTCTTACGCCTACCTCTTCAAGTACATTATCATCGGAGACACCGGTAATTTTCTTCAGCTTATTTACTTTTTAGCTTTGCGTTCCCTGCCAGATTAGAATTTCTGTTTTACTTGCAAATTGACAGTTTTCTCTGTGACTATGGATGATTATTACATGTAATTCTCTTCAATGGTCGAGGTTATGCAATTCTAGATCTCAGGACTTGTGCTAGTGATTATTGAATAATGCATTAAAAGACTGCATTTTATGATTTTAAAACAACACTATATTCGATTATTCAAATTCAAAAATTATAGGAAAATATTTAAGGATAAGTAAAAGGATAATATTATTACTATTTGACTACTTAAGTTTGAGCATGATTGTTTCAACTCTATCTATTGTTATGGTATTACTCAAGGGTTATTTGGATGGGTCGATGGCTTTTTTGCAGGGGCTAAGTCCATACCTTGACTTGTATTTGAGTTCTTATAAAAAATTGAAAGATCACCTATATGTGATCCATAATTAAAATCACCTTATGCTCACTTTAAGAGACATCTTATTATACTGCAAACCACTCTCATATGGCTACTGCTGACTGTTTAGAAATATACAATTGATGAGAATGTGAGATACATACTTTGATGAACAGGTGTTGGGAAATCATGCCTTCTTTTGCAATTCACTGACAAGCGTTTTCAACCCGTGCATGATTTGACCATTGGTGTCGAGTTTGGTGCTAGAATGGTTTCCATTGACAACAAGCAGATTAAACTACAGATTTGGGACACAGTCAGTATTCTCCGTTATTCTTTTATTTAGTAAATCTGACATCCGCAAGTTGTAAGCTATGAAGCACAGACACTTTTCACGGCTCATATTTCTCTGTTTCGGAAACTCAAAAGCCTCTTGGTAACTTGGAAACTTTAAATTCCCTTTTTGGGCCGTTTCCGTAATCAAGAAGAATAGGGAAGCTCAAAAGCCTCTTAGCGTTTTGGAAACCTTGAATTTCAAATTCTTTTCTTTTCTAGGGGAAACCTTTTAAAACTTTTTAGTGAATTTTTATGTAATTTCTTTCTAGCAACATTGTGATATTTCATAAAGTAATGCATTGTTAGAAATGTATAGTATTTTATACTTAACTATGTACTAATGTGTACTCCCTCCGTCCCTTATAATTCTTATCACTTACCTTTTCTGGACGTCCCTAAAAATTCTTCTCATTTCCCTTTTTGGAAAGTTTTGTGTGGTTATCATTCATTCATCTTTTTCTTACTCAACCACAATCATACATTTCCAATTAATTCCCACTTACTTAAACTCCGATCCAAGTCAAACCAGGAAGAATTTTGCAAGACGGAGGGAGTATGTCATATATTTGAACATTCAGAGTATATTTATTATTGGTTATTGAACAAAGTTATAGGGGGAAAACCGGAAAAGTATCTTCATATATATATATATATATATATATATATATATATATATATATATATATATATATATATATAGATAGATAGATAGATATATTTATAAATGAAAAAACATGTATTCATATATGGAAGTCTTTATAAATATATCCTTATATTTTAAATATTTACGTGTTTCTCCCTGTTTCAAATCCTACAACTTCTTGAATTCCTGCTTCTTGCTTTTTCCGTTTCCATGCTACATAGGTTGTAAGAGCTTCTTCTTTTTGGGTTAGGGCTAATGTCATGTGCTGGTCACATACTCATATCTACATACTTTGGCCAGCTTTTAGTTTTATTCTTGCAATTTGTTGAAACTCTGATTGTATTCGTCTCTTTTCCGTTTCAGGCTGGTCAAGAGTCATTTAGATCTATTACAAGGTCTTATTATAGAGGTGCTGCTGGAGCACTACTTGTTTATGATATTACAAGGTATTGATATTGTCAGAGTGTCATGACCTTCTGAGGCTGTGTTCACCCATTTTAAATGTTTAGGTTATGTTTGGTATGACATAATCAACCATGTATGGGTTTGATAAGCTTTATAACTGTCAACAACAACATCCAAGCCTTATTCCTAAAAGATTTTGGGGTCGGGTAACATTAATTGATCCATGATATAGGCAAAAAGAGAAGAAATATAAGAAAAATAAAAAGATAAGGTAAGATAAAATGGATAAGATAAAGATAAATCATCATCATTACCCTAGTGCCGCAAAGGCTCCCACACCTTTGGTGGGGTAAGGGGGTCGGATGTACACAGTCTTACCTCTGTACTAAAGCACATAGGGACTGTTTCCAGATGACCCATAGTCAAAATCCTCATAGTGAAAATCAAGTCGAAAATTGCATGGATTGACTGTTGCTTCATAACAAAGAAGCGCAAACAGTTTAGTAAGTCATTTTGCTTTGTTCTATCATATTCCCAAATCGAAAAAATAGTGAGTCTTTGGCTCCATTGCAAATAAGAAAGATAAATATAAGATCAAAATAATATAAGAACATAAGAAAGATAAAGATAAAAAGATAAAAGAACATAAAAAGATAAAAGATAAAAATAATATAAAAGTTACAAATGAGCTTTATAACTGTCAACTGGAATAAAAATAACATAAAAGTTATAAATAAGTTTATAACTGTCAACTGGAATAAAAATAAAGAACTGATTGAAAAAATGGAAGTTGCTCATTTATTGTAGAAGATATAAATAACTTTTGTTCAGTGACATTCATTAGATTGAAGATAAAGAAATTTATGCCATTAGATTTTAATGGAACTTCCTGGTTGTACTACTGATGAGTGGTAATTTTGTTTGTCGTTTTGTTCTTAAAAAATCTTAGGAGGGAAACTTTTAATCACCTTGCTAGTTGGTTGGAAGATGCAAAGCAGCATGCAAATGCAAATATGACAATAATGTTGATAGGAAACAAGTGTGATCTTTCTCATAGAAGAGCAGTGAGCACAGAGGAAGGAGAGCAATTTGCCAAGGAACATGGTTTAATATTTATGGAGGCCTCTGCAAAAACAGCACAAAATGTGGAGGAGGTGAATCTTCACTCAGCCACTTATACCCTTTTTGACTGGATTATAGAGTTTTTTATGTTTATCAAAATACAAGTTTGATGTTTATGCTATGTGGTCTTTTTAGGCATTTATCAATACCGCCACGCAAATATATGCTAAAATAAAAGAGGGAGTCCTTGATGTTTCTAATGAGGTAATCATGTTTTAATACTCTGCATGTCAAACATATCATGTATTGTGGAGTAATAATAAATTCTTAGTTTCAATACTCTGCACGTCATGTCTTCATATGTGCATGTCAAACATATCATGTATTGTGGAGTAATAAATTCTTAGCTTACTGGCTATCTCATATATGCTATCATGCTATGTGGTTTTTGTCATTTTTAAGCAATGAAGTAATTCAGTTTTGTTTAAATATGGCAAGTGCTACTTGTAATGATATACTTTGATGGCTACACTGTGTTTGAATCTTCTGTATCTAAGTGAGGAATAAAAAGAAGATAAATCATATTGGCGTGACAAATAATACATATAAAAAAGGATATTCCACATTGAGTCGTGGGCTATTATGTCATCTCCAGGTTTAGTCTCAACATTTAATTTAATCACGTTTAGTCTCATACTCGTGCGTCATGACTGTCGCCACCACATTTATGAAATGCAGGCCTACGGGATAAAGGTTGGCTATGGTGGCGTCCCTGGGCCATCGGGTGGAAGAGATGGAGCTCTTACTCAAGGTGGAGGTTGCTGCAGCTGAACTAGAGACATAATTTCCTTTCAAAGTAATCCGTACTGTTTATTTGTGGCTTAGTTCTTTCTTTCTCAATTCTCATCATATAATTAAAATCTTACATGTGTAAGTGGTGTAAAATATAATGCAACAGTCGGCAATCAGAATTATCGGTGTGAATATAAGCGCTACTCAAATTCTTGTAATTTTGAAATGTTAGCTTTGACTAAACTACTCAGATTATCTCCTTTCTTCTTGAGACCTTATCATTCATCATGTGAGGAATCACGTGAGGAATTTGGCATGCAGATTTACTCATCCACCATTCTGTTGGGCCGAGGTTTAAGGGTGTCTGGGTTGGATGATTCCCCCTTTCGGTTTATGGAATTTTGCTTGCACATGTTGGTGAGAGATTTGGCAGGTGCACCGAAATGACGGAATCTTTTGTACTCGTATGTTTTTCTTTTGTTCAAGGTCTAGAGTCTCACATCAGTAATCACAAGGTCTCGAACATGCTCAGGTAAATTATGTGTTAGGGTCTATTGGGTAACAAGTAGTTGTGGATTTGCAAAGTCCACCTCCAAATAAACAAGTCATAATGTACTTATTGTGACCTCTTTTTTCTGTTGAAAAGCGGATCAAACCTTGATCTCGATATGGCAGCATGAAGGATTTGAAGGTGTGGCCTTGTGGTCATAAACATCTTCACCTCCTTGACTCCTTCACTAACCATATTGCTTTTGAAAATCTCCATTTAACAACTCTAATCCCTACAATTGACTAACCACATTTGGTTTCATTTTATCTTGAAACAATGGTCTGTTTGGTTCAAATTTTTAGGTTTGCTTTCAAGTTCGTTCTTTTCTTTTTTCTTATTAGCAACCAAAAAAGAAATTCATAGAAAAACTGCAAAAAATACAACGTATAAAATTATAAAAATAGTGGTTATACGTAGCAAAGCGATTAAACTTTGTTATAATTGTTATGGGGTTGATCTAAAGAGAGCATATCATATAAGTAGCATGATTACATTTTCTCGATTTAAATTTTACAACTTAGCATTTTAAGTAAAAGATCTAACACCAAACATTGACTTTGAGAATGGAAGTTGGAGGACTAATGAGGATAGTCAACGGCTCATGGCTCCATGGTCCATAAAAACAACATATTTTAAACATGTTGTGTGGATGCCGAAACTGGAACCAAATACAAACAAATGCAGTTTGATTTGGTTTTTCGAGTTCAGTTTTGATTTTTTTTATATTTACAATTTTTTTGTTGATTTGGTTTTTTATTTTCGCTACTCGGTTTGAAGACCCGGCTATTAAATAATTATTTCTGTAAAGATACGCAATAAATTGCTTTATATTCACCTTTAATAGCCGGCTGTAGGCAAGTTTTTGTGTAGATTGGAGTATTTGGAGCAGAATAACTCGTACAAATTACAAAACCTGCATGGGTTCGAATTCGAGCCTGCATGAGTTTTTATCTCTTACCATCTTAAAAGCTTTAAACTGGTTTACAATGAATTTGGTATTTTTGTTTGATTTTATCCTTATCCGTAGAGGAAACCTTTGAATTGCCTTTGATCAATCACTTTAAAGGCTTTAAAGTTTAAAGGTGTAAACTGTAAACCGTTTTTCAATATAAAAAACTGTTTTTGAGTAGCTACCCCGAGTAATATGTGAGAAATGTCTGTGGTTTTTAGCATTAATTTGTCACAACAGCTTGTATACCAAATTGAACTGAATTCAACAATAAGCTTTTAAGTCATTTTAGTAAAAACCAACAATTACTAGAAAATCATTAAAAAAAATTCATCTAGTCGTGCCAAACGTACTCCTTCTTAGAGAAGCTACACTGAGTAGCATTTGAGAAAATTATATAACTTTTAACATTGATGGGTCACAACAACTTATATATCAAACCGAATTAAATCAAACATCAGTTTTTTATCAAATAGTTTTTACTTTTTCCTTAAGATATTTTCAATCACTAAGAGTTAACAATTTTTTTTTAATAAAAGGGATAATGATTCAAAATGCATTAAATGCATAAATTTCAATCTTAATTACTAAGAGCATCTCCAATGATTATCTAATTCCCCTCATATCTTGACTAGTTGCTCATTTAGACTAATTGACTTTCTCAAGCAAAAGGAAAAGCAGTGCTCCCATGTTTAGCTATTAGCTTTAAAATTGCAAGCAAGTCCTCGAGAGGAACCATTGAAGATGCTCTAAAAGCTAATAGCTAACCGTCATTAAAGGACATTAATTTCCTTTTAAGATCTTTATTTTGAAAAAAGGTTTAAAGCTTTTAAGAGGACTTTCTTTGTTAAGAATAACTACAGTTTAACAAGGTTCCCCTCCTTTGCCTTTGAGCCTTTGAACAACCCTATTATCCTTGGCTTGTTCATTTCACTACTTCAGTGAAAAGAAAAAGGAGTATTATCCTTCATAAACATGCGAGCCACACTGGGGGCCTGCAAGTTCAGACAGGGATGGTTGGCTATTAAAAAACAGGCTGTCAAACAAAAAACATTCGAAAGAAAAACTTGTGGATCGTCTATTAATGTGCGTCTCTTTCCCTGTGAATGTGATGGTCCATTATTGAAAACATCCATAACAATGCAAGTCCCAAACCATTCCGGAATCGGCTAACATGAATCGATATACGATATCCAAGTCAAAAGTAAAAGAAAGATAAAAAAGAGACAAGATATATATATATATATATAAATTAAATAATAGGATAAAAAGGGTAACAACATAATATATGTCTACTATATGTCTATAGGACTATATATTGAGTATAGTATTCATTATTTATTAAAGAATATTCATTAAAGTATACTTTACTTTTACTATATACGGAGTATACTTTAGCATACACTGATAATCACTGTCTTGATAGTTACACACAACGATGTGTATCACTTTGTATTTAAGCAAAGTACCCACAGTTGAAGAAACAATTAAATGAATCTTTTTTGTTCATGCGTACTAAATCATTGATGCTTGAAAAAGATTGGGAGTATGCACAAATGCTCGATTGTTCTCCAATCATCAACTTCTAATATTTATATGCACAATTGCTCGATTTGTTCTCAAATTATCAACTTCTAATATTTTGGAACGGATGTGACACCCCATACCTAAGGGTCTCTAGAACCGACATGACACATGACAATTATCCGTGAGAATGTAAGTCGAGTTTTGATTATATTCCATGAAAAGGGGCGTAGTTCTATCCTAAGCTGTATGTAAGTTGAATTTGGGATCTCTCGTGACACCTTCTTCGGTTCTTCCTACCAGGCAAGCTACGCTCCCGATATATGACTAAAGTTTTTAAATGTTTCAAAAAAATGTATATATAACAAGTCATTGATAGCATATACACAAATAATCAGTGACACCCAACCATCATGATTTCTCCCACCTAGTGACAGAATCTCAACCTCACTCGCAAACTGTCAAAGTAACTTTTAGTCAGTTATTT